TTGAGCTTGCGCTGCTTCTGGCGGTGCTTTTGGAGGCCTCCCTGCTCTATGAAGCACAATGTGGGGTGACTTATGATAGAAAGGCTGTGGTCATTAATGGGCAGAGGAGGATCCTCATCTCTGGCTCTATTCATTATCCAAGGAGCACCCCTGATGTACTTTTTCCTTTATTTTCACTTCCTTTTTTTAAAATTTTTTTACCGGTTGAAATGGTGAAAATTTTAATGGGTGTTTTCTTGTTTTTGATTTAGATGTGGGAGGGGCTAATACAGAAGGCTAAAGATGGAGGCCTGGATGTTATTCAGACTTATGTGTTTTGGAATGGGCATGAGCCTTCTCCTGGCAATGTGTGATCATTTTCTCTATTTTTCCTTCCTTTTTTGTTAAATTTTAACTGGGTTTTTTTCCCTGATTTTTTTAAAACTAAAATTTACAGTATTATTTTGAGGGGAGGTATGATTTGGTGAGGTTTATAAAGACAGTGCAGAAGGCAGGTCTCTATGTCCACTTAAGGATTGGGCCTTATGTTTGTGCTGAGTGGAACTTTGGGTAACAGTTCTTATATGCTTAAGTTCTTCCCAAAATTTTTAATTTAAGTTTTTCAATGTATTTATTTGATGGGATTTTTTTCTCCTGATTTATTTGTAGAGGGTTTCCTGTTTGGTTGAAGTATGTTCCTGGGATCAGCTTCAGAACAGATAATGAGCCTTTCAAGGTCTATTTCTGAAACCGGTCCCTTCCAGTTATTTCATTTTTTTTTTCTGCAAGAGTTGCAAACTTTAATTATATATTTGCTTGCCCATTATTGTTAATTTAAAGATTTCTTAAGCTTGGTGGTTACTGGTGTTGCAGAATGCTATGCAAGGGTTCACCCAAAAGATAGTGCAGATGATGAAGAGTGAATCACTTTTTGAGTCACAGGGAGGTCCAATTATCCTCTCGCAGGTATTATTCTCTTTCAATTCTCCTTTATCTTTTATAAAATCTAAGGAATAAGGGAGAAAATATTAGAGCATTTTGAAGGAAGACTAAGTTGGTGAGATTTTGTTGCAGATTGAGAATGAATATGGGCCAGAGAGTAAAGCCTTTGGATCTGCTGGCCGCTCGTATGTAAATTGGGCTGCAAAAATGGCGACCGGATTGGATACCGGCGTTCCATGGGTTATGTGCAAAGAAGATGACGCCCCAGATCCAGTGGTATGAGATTTTACTCCTCCGCTATTGTTCTTATTTTAAGTGTGGATATATTGCAAAGGTAATCTACATAGTTGTAAATCTTATGTGTCATTATTGTTTTGAGTCATATGACTCATATCATTTTAGTTCGACTCTACTTATTCCTTAATTTGTAGGAGACAGCCGCGAAATTATGTGCATTACCGCGTTACGCAAAGGTTTATATGATAGTTTTGATGGGTATATATATATATATATATATATTAGTGTCCTTTTCATTTTGATGTGTAACAAAAGGGATGTCTTTGTCTCTCTAAGATGTTGTTTTTTATTCATGGAAATTGGAGTTGCAATTTACAAATCGGGACAAGTAGTTCTTTTGTAACCATAGTAGCTAAAGATGCCGTTTTCAAAATGATTTACAATAACTTTGGCCATAAGTAAAATTTGCCGACAAAAAAAAGGAAAAAGTAAAAAAGAAGAAAAGAAAAGAAAAGTGAAGTGCAACTGCCCTTTGCGAATTGCTATTTTCTGTGACCCAAGTGAATTCTTTAATTTAGTGTCGATGTTACTGATTAAGTCAAAAGATGCGATAAGTCTCATTATATAGTGCTTCTGTCTATAGTACAAAAGGTGGACTCTTCAGTATTTACCACAATCTGATTCCTAATTTGAAAATAAGTTTTCCTTTTTGTTCAACGGGGGCACACCTGAAGTCTTTAGCTGATAACTATTTTTTGTCGTGTGTTTTATGGCTTGTTCTTATGATTTCTTTGATATGCAACATGTGATTTACATGTATTTTTACATGTATTAATAGATTAACACATGCAATGGCTTCTATTGCGATGCGTTTACTCCCAACAAGCCATATAAACCATCAATGTGGACTGAAGCTTGGAGTGGCTGGTAAGTTTCTTCTACTTCTACTGATGAATTTTCTTTGTGAAACTTTATCTGAATACTGATATTAATAAAAGCATTGAACTATATTAGAGATCTGCGTCTATTCGACACATTTTCTAATAAGACAGAACACATACTTATAGCTGCCACCCAGTCTATTCTCATTTCTTTGATTTTCAAATGAATTACAGGTTCACAGAGTTTGGAGGCACTGTTCGTGAGCGTCCAGTTCAGGATCTCGCATTTGCTGTTGCACGATTTATTCAGAAGGGCGGCTCATTTATCAATTATTATATGGTTTGAACTTGCACATTCTATCTTTTGTAGATACAATTCATTTACATCATTTCTGTTTTCTTTCTTGAGCATTGCAAGAATTAATTGAGGCTTTATTGTAATTTCTATTAGTATCATGGAGGAACCAACTTTGGGCGTACGGCTGGGGGTCCATTTATAACTACCAGCTACGATTATGATGCTCCCATTGATGAATATGGTAAGAGGGGCCTATGCCAAACATCAATTTTGATCTATTGGAGTTCATTCTTATGTGTTGAGTCCGTAATGTTCTGATGGCATGAAAAAAAAACTTCCAATGTGCATTTTTAATTGAATAAAGCCATTTTATATCCTGTGCCTTTCCAGGGAACTATCACAACTTGTTTCTCATTTTCAGCAGATAACAGATTTGATTGAGTGCATTTTACAAATATTTTCCCCTTATGTTAATTAACTTGTCTTGGTACTCACATCTTCATGGTAAATTTTCAGGATTAGTTCGAGAGCCAAAATATGGCCATCTAAAAGAACTTCACAGGGCAATTAAGCTGTGTGAAAAGGCTCTAGTTTCAGCAGATCCAGTTGTTACTTCAGTGGGCAGTTACCAACAGGTTTTCTTTTATTCCTTAGCGTTAGTCTTTGACTGTAAATTTATATTTAAAAATTCTTGAAATAACACGATGTTTTGAACATTAGTCTCTTAACTTGTCTTGGTATTTTCAGGCTCATGTTTTCACTTCCAAATCGGGAGATTGTGCTGCATTCCTCTCCAACTACAAGACAGATTCATATGCACAAGTAATGTTCAATAACATGCACTATAACTTGCCGCCCTGGTCGATCAGCATACTTCCAGATTGCAAAAATGTCGTGTTCAACACAGCAAAAGTAAGTGACACAATAGAAATTAGCTCAAAAAATAATGTCCTGGCACATTTTTTTAATTACTAGGATGCATGTAGTTATTGCATTTTAGCTAGGGGTATCTATTTAAAATGCAAGACACTCCTCAAACTTGAATCATGTATCAAATAAAAAACATCGCATAAATTGGTCAAGGATAAATCAACTGACGATTTTACTAGACTTTGGCTATATCTCATGCTAACAATTTATTTATATATGTAACAGGTTGGTGCTCAAACATCACACATGCAAATGTCAAATGTTAATTCTGAGTCACTTATGTGGGAGAGATATGATGAGGAGGTTGCTTCATTAGCCGATAGCTCACACATCACCTCAAATGGCCTTTTGGAGCAAATAAATGTCACGAGGGATGCTAGTGACTACCTTTGGTACATTACCAGGTGAGTCTAGGCTCTAATCTTTTCCTTGTTTTTCACACAAGGGACATCAAATATATTAGAAACCCTTAAAGCTGTTGTCTTATATTTGTCTGGAACTTGTCATCTGCTAACTGAAACCCTTAGCTGACAAATGTAATTCCTATACATAGATAGTCATGTTGCTATTGCAAAGTATTACTTTTTTAAATATGCTCTGTCTCTTCATTTCAGTGTTGATATAAGTTCAAATGAAGGATTTCTACGAGGCGGTCAACTTCCATCACTTCTTGTACAGTCAGCTGGTCATGCACTTCATGTCTTCATTAATGGCCAACTCTCAGGTACGCTGACAGATTTGTAACTGTCACAAAGCCCAAACATGGATAAGAAAATAACGGTGATATATTATCTTATTAGGGTCTGCTTATGGTAATCGAGAGAATAGGAGGATCACTTACACAGGCAGTGCCAATCTTCGTGCTGGTACTAATAAAATTGCTCTACTTAGTGTGGCGGTTGGACTACCAGTAAGTTTCTTAGGTTTCCAGATTACAAAACATCAAATTATTTTGGATATGGATACAAGTTAATTTTCCCTTTTGTTTTTTTTGCTATATGTGAAGAATGTTGGAGCGCACTATGAGTTGTGGAACACCGGAGTCGTTGGGCCTGTTGTTCTTCATGGAGTTGATAATGGGAAAAGAGACTTAACCTGGCAAACATGGTCCTATCAGGTCTAGTTTCTTTCATGAATAAATAAATAAACAAATATTTATTAATTATTATTATTTTTGTGTATGAATTTATTTGAAAATTGACAAAGCTTTATCGGGTTGTAGGTTGGTCTTAAAGGAGAAAATATGAATGTGAACTCACTAGAAGGGACTTCATCTGTTGAGTGGATGGAGGGTTCACTAGCAGTTCAAACACAGCAACCAATGACATGGTACAGGGTAAGAAGATTCAACCTGGAATATTCACCATCTTCTCTTTGTTCAATTAGTATTTTGGTTCAAACTTTTGTACTCTTGTTAGGCCTATTTTGATGCTCCTGCTGGGGATGAGCCATTGGCATTGGACATGGGAAGCATGGGAAAGGGTCAGATATGGATTAACGGGGAGCATATTGGACGATATTGGACAGCATGGGCACCAAAGGAAGAATGCAATGATTGCAGTTACACTGGAACGTATAGACCTCCAAAGTGTCAGTCTGGTTGCGGTCAACCAACTCAACGCTGGTATGGACAAGTTCACTTCATTCTTTTGGGAGAAAAAATTTCTATAAAATCACGTAGGCACGAATCTTGATGCACATATCACAATCAACTAATCAGTGCATACTGCACCCATAGCAACTACACTGATAGCAACTGCACCAATAGCTAATAATGATGTGCGCACAAAAATTCGTGCTAGGACAGGTGTCTTCATTCTCTATCTCAGGCCCTCTGTAGGATTTTTCAAGTTGAGGATATTGCTCAATACAATACAATGATCTTTTTACAGGTATCATGTGCCTCGGTCTTGGCTACATCGAACCAAGAATCTGATGGTGATATTCGAAGAGCTTGGTGGTGATGCGAGCAAAATCGCATTGGTGAAGAGATCTGTGTCTAGCGTGTGCTCTCATGTTTCGGAATGGCATCCCGTGATCAAGAACTGGCACGTTGATGCCTACGATCATCCGGAGGAGGCGCACAGGCCGAAGGTCCACCTCCGATGTCCCCGTGGGCAGTCAATAACAGCTATCAAGTTTGCAAGTTTTGGTACCCCCTCGGGAACATGTGGAAGCTTCCAGCAAGGAGCGTGTCACTCTCCAAAGTCCTACTACACCCTTGAAAAGGTAATTGTAGTGTAAACTGTAATGCTCAACTTAAACTGTAACTTTAGAGTTTCGTTGCAGCAGAGAGAACTATTTAGATCTCATGAGATGCTTGTTTGGGCGAAGAGTGAAACGTAAGGCCGTGTTTAGCAGCTGTCCAAAATGGGGCCAGGATTGATCCTTGACCTATTTGAGGAAAAATTGTGTTTAGCAAAAACCAGGCTAGTATTGACCCAGTTTCTGTTAGTCCAAAAATCACCCTACAACTCATATTTTTGATGATTCGCCCCTCCCCAGGGTAGATTAGGATAAAACTGGGCTGGGATCAATCTGGCAAAATTTTTGGATGGTTGCCAAACACAGCTGAAAGTTCAAGACACGAGCTAATTTCTCTTTTGACTGCACTAGTCAAAGGCAAGATGCATTGTCAACAATAACTAATTATAGCATCCTAACTCACATATAAATTAGGCAGTGCATTATCACATGCGTTTTCTTTTAAATTACATCTATCAGAGCTAATCATGATATTCTTTATGAGATAGAAAATTTCGTAATGACCCTTGTCTTTGAGCAGCGGTGCATCGGCCAAGAGAGATGCGCGGTGACAATCACCAGCGATAATTTCGGAGACCCGTGCCCTAATGTGTTGAAGAGTGTGGCAGTCGAAGCAGTTTGCTCATCAGCTGTGATACCATGAGAGACCTCGAGCTCCCTCATCATGTGAAGATGGAGCGCTTTACAATGACATCTCACGTGGTTTAGAGCTGGCACATAATTAAGAAAAAGGAAAACTGATTTGATCGAAGTTACAACATGATAATAAAGCTTGATGGCGATGTATACAAAAGGAAGGAGGAGGTTGTTGGTGGGTAGATGGTGGATAACAAACTTTGTTATCTACCCTTGTATTTATTCTTAGTGAGCGGAAAGTGGTCTCTTTGGCTCTCATTGGATTCCCTTTGAAGAAGAGTAAAGGGGAAAAGAGAAGCGTTAGAAGTTGTTTTTTCTTTTTCTCTTTTTGTCATTGAATGTCTTGTTCAATTGCTTCACTTTATTTCATTCTCTTCGTAACCAGTAATTTATGTAAGAGGTGTAAGTACAATTGTTGTATTGTTATAATTATCATTGTTGTTGTATGTTTAGTGGATGAATGAATGAATGGAATTTTAAAGGTTTCTTTGTTCATACTCATCTTGATGCCTCTTTCTTATTTCTTTGCGTGGGTAATAAGCAAAGATGTGTCGAAAGTTGATGAGAGTGGAGGTGATTATAGCTTTCCTTGCTTAATGTTTGCTTACCAAGCTCAAGAGAATGTAAACTCCTTGACTATTTTGTTTAAAATTGGGGTGCAGAATAAGCACTATACTCTTGATCTTTCTTGATATTTCTTGATATTTCTTTGTATTTACTTATAGAGACGTGGGGAAAAAAGAAAAAAGAAGAAGAGCTTTTATTAAAACCAGTTGAGATGCACGTGCAATGCACGTGGTTAAATATCATGATTATTTAAATTAATAAAAATAGAATAAAAATAAAAAGAAAATAAAGTGTTTTTTGGGATTGATCATCAACTTAATAATCTCTCTCTCAACTGAAATATCATCATTGTTTCCTTCAACCGAGACTGTGGTCACGTGATCTACTATTTATGAGTTATAAACATATTAATCTAGTACAACATCTCTGTTTTTAAAAGAAAATTTTTATATGAATTTACTTTCAATATGTCTATTAAACTTTTAGTTGTGGTTTGACTCATTTTCACATCAACTTTTAGTTATGGTTTCACTCAAATTTACATTATCTAATATTCTCATTCAATTTTATAGTTTATTCTCTGTCATAGAAGTAAAACTGAAAGTATGAAGAATTATTTTTTTGCGAAATTAGAGCAGGGAGATTATGATATATTTCGCCATGTGCTCTAAATATAAAAAATTTCTTTTTTCTTTGATGCAAGGTCCATATCAAATCTTACCCTAAACGATGTGAATGGAAAATGATATTATAACTTATTTGTCTCGGGCAATTGTATTGTATATAGGATGTATAACTCATCTGAAATATCCACATCTGCTAAGTGGATTTTACTGTTGTGAGAGCAACATTTTGGAGGCTCGTATTTGTAATGACCATGAATTTTTGATACTGGTTTAAATATTTTTTCTGGTATTTTAAAATATTAATTTATTATTTTTAAAAGAGTATTTATATTTTCTTGATTTTCTAGAATATTCTACGATTTAAAAATCCGTTTTTATATTTATTTAATGATTTTGATAATTATAAATTAAATTGTTGCGATGAAAAATTTTAAATTGATATTGGTTATTTAATTATTGTTATTATTATTATTATTGTAATTAATATTGATTATTACCTAATTATTCTATTAATTATTCTCTAAACCCTAATCCTATATATAATTTTTCTCATATCTCTCTCTCTCTCTCTCTCTCTCAACTCAGAGACGTCGCCAAACCCCCTTCACCAGCTCTCTCTCTCTCTCTCTCTCTCTCTCTTATCTCTTTCTCTCTCTTCCCCTCCTATCTTTTCACGCCGCTGCCTTCACCCCCGCTCGAACCCACCAAACAGCCCCCGCCGACGTCGCATTCCAGATCCTCTGTAGCCGTCGCTTCAAACCCCTCTCATACTGCATCCGCACCGGCGCCATCGCAGCCTCGTCCGCAGGACCCTCGGCCTCGCAGGCAAAATCCCGATTCTTGATTAGTTTCGTTTCAATTCTTATAATTGTCGTGATTTAAGTACGTGCGAATTTCCATTTTTAATATCATTTATTATAATTTTAGATCTGTTATGAATTACATGCATAGACTAGACTGTGATATGTTATTACATGCGTGAGATTTGTTTGATGAATAACTGTATGAAAATTGTTACTTTATCACCTAGTTTTTATCCAATAGGAGAGATTGTACATGACGACGACTCCTGTTAAAAGTATGATTTATAAGTGTGCTTCAAAGCATGGCTATACTCACTCGATATCGATATCCCGATGTGAGGAGTTCTGTAAAACCCCAAAAATTTGAATATCATGTGAAAAATAATATTAAATATGTTATATGGTAAAAATATAACATATTTTGATATTTGAGTATGATAGGAATGGATTTGAGATCAATTCAATGTATATTTATGAATATATGAGTGCAAATGCACAAAACATGCACGAAGAGAAATCTCGAAAAATAACAAGTTAAGAGTTTATATATTTTACATACCGATGCAGTTTGAATCTGAAAAACCTCAAAAGACCAAAGTTGTAGGTCTCTTCAACAGCTTTCTAAAAAAATCTTAAATCACCTCATTCTGAGGTCAGATGAGAAAGTTACAGCCAAAATACCGAAGGTTATTTTCCTAGTTAGACTAGGTTTCTTGGTTCGGCTTAAACGAGTTTATTTCGGGTTTGTATATATATATATATATATATATATACACACACACACACACACACACACACACACATGTGTTTTTACGAAAATTATATCTTTTTATCAGAGTTTCAAACCCTAGCAGCCCCTCTTCCTCTCTCTCAAATCTTAACCCTAAAGTTGAGATTTTGGGAGCGTCTTGTGAGGCGAGAAGCGAGAAAAAGGCGAGATCTACGACGTTTGGCGACGAGGAGTCGTTTCACCTCAGTTTCAGAGGCTTGCACACGTGAGATAATATCATCTACATCCAAACCCATCCCCATAGTGTTTAATGATTATAAAAGTGTTTAATCAATATTTTCATACTTAAAGACTTAATCTAAAAAGAAAAAGATAAGATTTTTGATGATAAATCTTAACCCAATGCTAGATCATTAGCTTTTCCTAATTGTTTATGATAGTAACGTGATCATGACCATTAGGAGTGATTAAATTTTTATTTTTTAAACTTGATAATTATGTTTAACTCGTGTATTAACCCTAATTTGTTGTCTAATTGAATTATTAAGAGGTTTAGTTTTTGTTTTCATCATAGATTGCAGAAAACTGCTGCACATATATAACATTTAACTAAAAATTTAAGATATCATATAAACTCCAAACTGAACAAAACCAGTGTCAAATGAAAGCTATGCGAACTTATTTTTCAAAACAGTAAATCATTCTAAGAAAGTTTTTTTATAAAGAAAGATATACTCAATTTACTAATGACATATTCTGCAGAAAATTGTTGCACATGTGTAACATTTAACTAGAGATTTGAGATAACATATAAACTCCAAACTAAACCAAACTAGTGCCAAATGATAGATAAGTGGATTTAGTTTCAAAAATAGAAAACTATTCTTAAAAAGAGTTTGTTTAAATAAAGATATGCTCAATTTACTAATGATATGTTCTGCAGAAAACTGCAGATATGCTGATTTGAAATAATTGATATATTACGTGAATGTTTCTTTGAGTTTTCATGTTAATTAATCATGCTTAAACCCTAGGTTTGTGATACCTAAGTAAGATAAACATGTTTAAATGAATTTTACCTCTGTTCATGAGTAGTTTTGAGTAGTTTTTATCATGTGTTGATAATCACTTTGTTTACATATGAGATAATTGAAGAAATTGCTTAATTAAGATGTTAAACCCTAATTTGAAAGATATAATAATTTAATTTGATGTTTCAGATAATTCTTGTTGCATATGCCAAGTATAAAATCTCATTTTAACATCATGATATGTACAATTGACATAAGCATTGTTTGTGCATGAAAGAATGTGTGTCTTGACAGAGTAGTCTACTATTAAGTTTAGTAGTCTCTACTCGTGTCCAGTTGAGTATAACAGAAACTGTGTGTTTGCAGAGTAGTTTAGTAACGTTCTTAATAGTCGACTACTGATACTGATATATGTTATTACAGAGTCTGGATGGACTCAGCGTAATCGACTACTAAGCTGTTGATGTCTGATATCAAACAGCCGATGGGGTCTTTCCGCCGAGGGATGCAGTTTTGATCTTTGTACTAACGGCAAAGAGGGAGAGGATGAGAGGTGGGGCCGACTTCTCCTCCGACTTTATGCCTGATCCTTGGACTGGAATTCCTGATCCTTCTGCACAAACAAGAAGAAACCCGTAAGAGGACGGGGACCGGTTCCCCCGTGGTACCTCCGATGGTCAAGTCAGCTGATGAGCTTGAGTGGGGTTTGAGGAAAGATCCGAGGATCATTGAGGTCCTGATATTCATTACTCTTATTGTGTTTTTAAAAGAAGGCATAGCTTTTAGAATTGCTTAGAGCTTTAGCCAAAAAAGAGTTCAGAAGTCTTAAAAGAGTTAAAAGTCCCCCTTGTTTTATTAGTCCCTCACCTCCTTTTATAGTCCATCGCCTCTGAGATTGACCTTTGGTTTTAACTATGCACAGGAGGGCGGTTGCGGAGTAAGCAGACAGGCTGCCGAGTCATCCTTCACATTACAGATGTCGGCTGACGACTAGCGGGGAAGTCATTCGAGCACGGGAGGATGCCTTGGAAACATCCCAGATTCGATAGATGAGACAGGACGTAGGATAGACCGATTGTTTGGGTCTCCTTCCCTTTCCTGATGATGGCTGGCGACTGGAGGGGAAGTCATTCGAGCATAGGAGGATGCCTTGGAAATATCCTAGATTTGATAGATGAGACAGGATGGAGGATGGGACGATTGTTTGGGCCCCCTTCCCTTTCCAGATAGTGGCTGGCGACTGGAGGGAAAGTCATTCGAGCACAGGAGAGGATCTTAGCGATCTCTGGGAAGTGACTTATGGGCAGAGTGAGCTGTTTTCACAAGAGTTTTGTCAGAGTTAAGATCTTGATAGGATCGCTCAATAAACTGTGGTGTTGATTGATGTATATCTGAAGGTGGCTTAGCTGAATCTTATCCCCTTAGTAAAGACGGGTCGATTTGTGGGTCGTCCATATGATTTGTTGACAAGTCAGTCGAGTGAGCTTCTGGTCGAGTAAACTATCGAGAAGGTGGTCGAGCCGACTATTTGGGGAGTCGTCTCGACTTATGAGGGGTCGACTAATCCCGCACTTCATGTCGTTAAAAAATGACTCGTCTCCTCGACGGGTGAATAGACTTGCTCTTGGTTGGGCTTCTGGGCTACTAAGTTGGTTTGGATCATAGCTTTTTTGGGCCTATGAAGACAATCTTTCGACATTTTTATCTTTAAATGGTAAATTACCATAA